AGACGATGCATGAACTGAGAAAGTTTGTTAACCACATATGCAATGTCCGAGCGAGTCAGACAATGGCACGATATTCAGTGGGATCCGATAGCGCAGAGCCCGAGTGAAGAACAAGAGTGGGCGTCGTGGCGAGAGGTGTGGCGACCGGGCGGGCATTGGTCATCTTGGTACGAGCAAGAAGATCAGCAATATATCTCCGTTGTGATAGAATGATGCCCTGTGAGTGAGGGACAACTTCTACGCCAAGAAAGTAGGTTAACGGACCAAGATCCTTTAACGAAAACCGATTGGCTAGAAGTGTAATGAATCCCTGAACTGCAATGGAATCACTCCCTGTGATAATAATATCATCAACATAAACAAGAAGATAAAGAGTTACGTTGTTTTTGTTGAAGATAAACAGAGAGGTGTTTGCAGTAGAGTTGATGAAGCCGGAGTGAAGAAGAAACTGACGAAGCTCATTATACCAAGCACGAGGTGCTTGCTTGAGGCCATAGATAGCTTTTCTCAACTTGCAGACATGCTGGGAGTGGTCAGTATCAGTGAAGCCCTGTGGTTGTGTCATGTAGACATCTTCAGTGAGAGGGCCCTGAAGAAAAGCATTATTAACGTCAAGTTGGCGGAGAAACCAGCCACGGCAAAGCACCAGACGAACAGTTGTGGGTTTGACAACATGGCTGAATGTCTCATGGTAGTCAACACCGGGGCGCTGATGAAAACCCTTGGCAACCAGACGAGCTTTGTACCTGTCAACAAAACCATCAGGCAAACGTTTAATACGAAAAATCCACTTGCAACCGACAATGTTCTGAGCCGTATCCGGAGGAACTAACTCCCAAGTGCCATTTCAAATAAGGGCATTGAACTCCGCAGACATGGCCTGACGTAGGGGTGTCAATTTGTGTCGCGTGTCGTGTTCGTGTCGTGTTTGTGCCGTGTCATTTTTTTTTTCACGTGACCCGGACACGACCCGTGACACGAAAATAATTGAGAACCGTGACACGAACACGACACGGTCAGGTTGCGGGTCACACGACACGAACCGAAAGTGACACGCGACACGAATTGACCCGCGAACCCGAGACATGACACGAATCTGGTAAACCGAAATTGACACGAAATTGGATATTTCAGTCCATTTTGTAAAGATCTTAACAAAGTACCAAAATTCAAGCATAGATAATAAAATTCCAGCAACAACATTACATAAAATTCATGATGCAACCACATTGATGCAAAAGAGAACCACATTGATTTAAAAGAAGTCCATGATGCAAAAGAAAACATCACATGAAATAAAACCTGCATAACAAAGTCCTAAAACCACATAGTTCCAATGAAGCAAAAAAAAAAAAAAAAACATTACCCAACCATAATAAAAATCAAATTCAAGCGCATCCGGAGTTAGAAGCTTGGTCGACAGTTTTTTCAGAATGTATGTTAAGATCAACGACAGTGTTGATGAGCTCATCCATATCTTCACGAAATACTTTGAATCCATCTAGGAAAAAAAGTTACTGATTAGCATTTATGAGACTGGGAGGAACAATATTTAAGAGAACAATGAAAAACTTGAAGAATATACCTTCATTTCCATACAACCAATCCCTTGTACATACAATTGCTTCAACAGTCTCATGTTTAAGAGAGCTACGGAACTGATCAAGCACACGACCGCCAACACTAAATGCAGCTTCTGAAGCAACTGTTGATACAGGAATGCATAACAAATCACGGGCCATGGCAGCAAGAATTGGGTAGCGGCACTGATTTGTCTTCCAATAAGAGAGAATATCCAACTGATAACTCCGTTTTATTCTAGGCTCATCCAAATACAATTCCAACTATGATTTTTTGTTTGAATCATAAAACAAATCACTGGAAACATCATCAAATTCCTGAAAAAAAAATATAAAACATTAGTAACTATTAAGATAAATATGACTACGTACAAGAATGTAAATATATAAGAAAAATAAATATTACCTTCATCAAATCTGACTTATCTACTTCCATTCCATATGGTGCTTTACCCTTGTCCTTTTTCTTGCAAGTGGGTGGTGAGACAGAATGATCAAGCTTCAAAGCATACTCATGAAAAAAGGATTCCAACTTCTCACGCAATGATAACAACTCCTTAAAGTTAAGCCCAAAAGCTTTCTTGTAGCAAAAGTCAATAAACTGCATCTTACAAATAAGGGCATTGAACTCCGCAGACATGGCCTGACGTAGGGGTGTCAATTTGTGTCGCGTGTCGTGTTCGTGTCGTGTTTGTGCCGTGTCATTTTTTTTTTCACGTGACCCGGACACGACCCGTGACACGAAAATAATTGAGAACCGTGACACGAACACGACACGGTCAGGTTGCGGGTCACACGACACGAACCGAAAGTGACACGCGACACGAATTGACCCGCGAACCCGAGACATGACACGAATCTGGTAAACCGAAATTGACACGAAATTGGATATTTCAGTCCATTTTGTAAAGATCTTAACAAAGTACCAAAATTCAAGCATAGATAATAAAATTCCAGCAACAACATTACATGAAATTCATGATGCAACCACATTGATGCAAAAGAGAACCACATTGATTTAAAAGAAGTCCATGATGCAAAAGAAAACATCACATGAAATGAAACCTGCATAACAAAGTCCTAAAACCACATAGTTCCAATGAAGCAAAAAAAAAAAAAAAAACATTACCCAACCATAATAAAAATCAAATTCAAGCGCATCCGGAGTTAGAAGCTTGGTCGACAGTTTTTTCAGAATGTATGTTAAGATCAACGACAGTGTTGATGAGCTCATCCATATCTTCACGAAATACTTTGAATCCATCTAGGAAAAAAAGTTACTGATTAGCATTTATGAGACTGGGAGGAACAATATTTAAGAGAACAATGAAAAACTTGAAGAATATACCTTCATTTCCATACAACCAATCCCTTGTACATACAATTGCTTCAACAGTCTCATGTTTAAGAGAGCTACGGAACTGATCAGGCACACGACCGCCAACACTAAATGCAGCTTCTGAAGCAACTGTTGATACAGGAATGCATAACAAATCACGGGCCATGGCAGCAAGAATTGGGTAGCGGCACTGATTTGTCTTCCAATAAGAGAGAATATCCAACTGATAACTCCGTTTTATTCTAGGCTCATCCAAATACAATTCCAACTATGATTTTTTGTTTGAATCATAAAACAAATCACTGGAAACATCATCAAATTCCTGAAAAAAAAATATAAAACATTAGTAACTATTAAGATAAATATGACTACGTACAAGAATGTAAATATATAAGAAAAATAAATATTACCTTCATCAAATCTGACTTATCTACTTCCATTCCATATGGTGCTTTACCCTTGTCCTTTTTCTTGCAAGTGGGTGGTGAGACAGAATGATCAAGCTTCAAAGCATACTCATGAAAAAAGGATTCCAACTTCTCACGCAATGATAACAACTCCTTAAAGTTAAGCCCAAAAGCTTTCTTGTAGCAAAAGTCAATAAACTGCATCTTATATCGTGGATCGAATACAAGTGCAATGCCTAAAATGGGGCTGAATTGTGACCAATATTTCTGAAATTTGGGCCACATATGCATAGCCATGGACTTCAAGTACTCATCTTCACCTTGGGTAGCATTTTTCAAGGTTATATAGCATTCCATAATTGCTGGGAAATACAAGCTTGCTGTGGGATATCTTGTGCCAGAAAATAAAAGTGTGGCATCATAGAAGAATTTCAAGAACTTGGATATTTTCTCAACTCTTTCCTACTCATCGGAGTTGGGACAATTCTTATAGTTAGAATTACTCAATTCCAAATGTTGAAAGCGTGTCTATAAAAGAGAGCACTTTCAAGCATAAGATAAGTTGAATTCCATCTAGTAACCACATCCTGAGACAATCCTTTGTTGCTTCCCATCGACACTAACTTAACACATTCTAAAAACTTTTGCTTCCTTTGTTGTGATCCTTTAACATATTTAACACTATCTCGAATCTTCTCAACTGACTTATCTATACTTTTCAAACCATCTTGCACAACAAGGTTAAGTATATGGGCACAACATCTCAAATGAAAAAATTCACCATGAAAAGGCAACAAACCACGCAAGTTCAATTGCTTTTGCAATGCATCCACGGAGACATCATTTGAAGCAGCATTATCTAAAGTTATACTGAAAATCTTTTCCTCAATTCCCCAATCACTTAATAAGGAAAAGATTTTCTCAGATAGTGCTATCCCAGTGTGTGGAGGTGGCATAAGACAAAAACTCAGAATTCTTTTATGTAACTTCTAATTCTTATCAAGAAAATGAGCAGTCAGGCACAAATACCCATCAGTAGTCAATGAAGTCCACAGATCAGATGTCAAACTTATTCTACCAGGACATGCATCCAACATATTTTTTATTTTCATTTTCTCCCTTGCATACAACTTAAGAGAGTCAGCCTTAGCAGTGTTCCTAGACATTAACTCCACATCAGGATATAGATATTGAAGCATAGCCCTTAATCCTTTGTACTCAACAAATTGGAAAGGCAAATCATGCATAATAATACAAGCAGTCACCAACTCACGCCATTTTTCAGAATTAAAGCTACAAGAGCCAAACGACAAGCTACTATCACGAGAAATAAGCATTTGACCAATATCTCTAGTGTCTGATCTCGGACAAGTTTTAATATGCTTCAACATGTTACTTGTTCCATACTTACTAGCAACAAGATATTGTTGCCCACACTTCTTGCAAGCACTCTTAAGCTTTTTGTCCAGACCAAGAGGAATGATGTCAAAAATGTTCTAAACTTTTGATTTCAACTTCTTCTTCTTGAGAGGTTTTTGGCCACCAACGCCTATGAGCTCAACCACATCCTTGTCAAGCTCGATATCCACATCTATTGGTTTCTCAAAATCATTGTTCTCACTTTGTGCCTCCAAATCATTGTTGTTCATCTACAATAGAATTAAGAGAAAACAAATGAAACCAGTATCCCCTGAAAAAAATTTATTAGTGTAAAAAGCCAAAGATTTTACAACTAAATCTTAGTGTAAGAATTTATAAGCATTCTAATGGTGGAACCAATTTCACATCAGAGTCTTAAAAGCCAGCTATTTTCTTGGAATTTATGTGACAACTTATGATGACTTTGCAATTTTTTCTTTATTATTATTATTTTTTTCTATAAAGAAACAATGCAGGGGTAGCAACCGGTGCATTCAAGCTATCTAAAGACAATATGGAACTACAGTTTGCAACAAACCACTTAGGTACGTATTTGCATATATACCAAAAATAATGGTTAAATTGTCCTCTTTTTTTTTTGGATAAACTGAACGATGAAATTATTCACAAATTAAAGATTACTGATAAAGGTTTAAAAATTTTCCGGAGCAAATATCTGCAGATAGGTATAAGGTTTCATGCAAATACTTAAGATTGTAAGGAGGTAATTGTTGTGTGACGTTTAGTGCTATAGCTAGCATTTTCCATATTAGTGTACCGAGTAAATTGATTGTTCTTTTTTGTTTTCTCATTTTAATAAGCACTTTAAATTTGCATTATATGGTTACAAAATTAATTTTATTTTTCTTCTCCCTGTCTACTAGGCCATTTTCTCCTCACAAATCTTTTGTTGGACACAATGAAGAAAACAACACAACAAAGTGGAAAAGAAGGAAGAATTGTAAATGTCTCCTCAACTGGTCACCGCTTCACCTATCGTGAAGGAATCCGTTTTGAACAAATAAATGATCCTTCTGGGTAACAACTTGCAGTATAGTTGCAGTTACTGGAATAATCTGATATGACTGTGAAATAAAAGAAAATAATCAAAACTAGTATTATTCATGAAATATCTAAAGAAAACCATTCATATACTAAATAATAGGTATGGAAAATTAGGCGCAGCCGGATATGGGCAATCGAAGCTTGCTAACATTTTGCATGCTAATGAGCTTGCAAGACGTCTAAAGGTATAAACAAGGCTTTAGTTTATCCATCATAAGGCTAATTGAATTAATAATCAGTCTGTTGTCAGTCAAATATTGTTTTTTTTTTCAGGAAGAAGCAGTGAATATAACAGCAAATTCACTTCACCCAGGAGCAATTGCAACCAATATTTTCCGCTACAATGCCATTGTCAATGGTAACACAACTTTTTCGAATCAAAACATCCAAGAAAACTTGGTTTCTCAAGGGGAAAAAAGTGCCGATTTCATCCGATTTCAACCAATATATTCAGCAAATTCACTTCACCCAGGTTGTTTTGACATCAAATAGAAACCGTATTCAGGTTTCAAACTCATACGGAAAAAATAGGAAAAAAAAAAGTCATTCAGTTTTCAATGTGTGCGCACCGAACAATTTCTAATGGAAGCAAGAAGAAAAACAAAACAAAAGAAAAAAATAGAAGAACATAACTTACCTTGTTGCTATTTTGAGATAGAGTTGCTCCAAATCTGAAACTTTACTGTGGAAATTTGAGGGCAGGTGGCAGCTGAGAGATGAGGGGGATGTCGAAATTTGAGGGCAGAGAGGAAAATTTGAAGGCAGAGAACGAAACTTGAGCGAACCAAAGTCGCTATTTCGAGAGAAGAAGAAGAAGAAGAAGAAAGAGGGCATGACACTAGGGCATGGTCGGGCTTCCAATTCAGAGGAATGAAGATGTATTGTTGTTTAGGTTTAGTATATGTATTCTGTAATATGTTATATATATATATATTTTTTTCTCTACGGGTCAGTTTCGGGTTTGAACCCGAAATTGACACGAAATTGAATTGCGGGTCAATTTCAGGTCACACGGGCCCAACCCGAAAACGACCCGTTTTGTTCGTGTCAATTTTGAGTCGACCTGATTCCGACCCGCACCCCATTTTCCTCAACCCTAACCCGTAATTTTCGTGTCGATTTCGATTCGTGTTGTCGTGTCGTGACCCGTATTGCCGCCCCTAGCCTGACGCCATTTGTCATCCTTGATAGCCTGAGTCACACATGTGGGTTCTACCTCTTTGGCAAGAAGAGCGGAGAGGTTCAGTTTGGTGATTGACTTATGTATGTGGTTGTGGGAACGGGTAACAATGGGGGAGGTCCGGGAGGGGTGGGCAGTGGTTGGTTTGGGGGCTGGTTGGGTTGTGGGACTGGGCATAGACGGATTTTCTGGTTAGGTTGTGGGATTGGGCAGTGGCTGGTTTGGGGATGGATTTTCTTCGTCGCGGCTAGAGGGAGGCGAAGTGAGGTTTGGTGATTGACTTATGTATGTGGTTGTGGGAACGGGTAACAATGGGGGAGGTCCGGGAGGGGTGGGCAGTGGTTGGTTTGGGGGCTGGTTGGGTTGTGGGACTGGGCATAGACGGATTTTCTGGTTAGGTTGTGGGATTGGGCAGTGGCTGGTTTGGGGATGGATTTTCTTCGTCGCGGCTAGAGGGAGGCGAAGTGAGAGCTGAGCTATCCAAAGTTGCTTGACGTGGCGAGGTGGCATTTTTGCCGCGGCAAGAAGGCAGAAACGAAGAAATGGTCGAGCTAGGAATTGAGAGATTACCTGACGAAGGCGTCCTGCGAGGTAGAGCCGGAGATGGTGTGTTAGAAGCCGGAGCAAGAAGAGGAATAGAGAGCCAAGTGGAACCGGTAGAGTCATCCGGACGAGATAAATGGGGAAGTAAACCATTCATGGGAAATTCAGTTTCAACAAAACGTACATGCCTGGAAGTATACATCTTCTTAGAGGTGGGTTCATAGCACAGATAGGCACTTTGGGTCTGGGAGTAGCCAAGAAAAACACAAGGAGTGGAGCGAGGGGCCAATTTATGAGGAGAGTACGGACGAAGCCACGGGTAGCAAAGACAACCAAAGACTCGCAGTTTGAGATAATTTGGAGGATAAGCAAAAAGCTTATGATAGGGAGAGATCATGTCCAAGGTGGGAGTAGGTAAATGATTGATAAGGTAGGTGGCGGTGAGGAAAGCATAAGACCAGAAGGAGAGAGGTAAGGAAGCCCGGGATAGGAGAGCGAGACCAGTTTCAACTATGTGGCGGTGGCGACGCTCAGAAAAGCCATTATGTTCGGGTGTGTGTGGAGGAGTGGTGAGATGAGAGATGCCAGTTGTGGACAAGAATGATTTTAGACCCGTGTATTCCCCCCCATTGTCAGAGTAGATGGTGATAATTTTTGTTTGAAAGTAGTTTTCAACCAGAGCTTTGAAACGTGGAAAGACAATGGAAACATCCGATTTATGAGCAAGGGGGTGCAACCAGATGTAATGAGTGTAGTGATCCACAAAGATGACATAATATTTGAAATTATCAACAGAATGAATAGGAGAAGTCCACACATCATAGAAAATGATTTGAAGCGAAGCATGAGAAACAATAGTGGATTGGAAAAAAGGTAATTTATGACTTTTATTGCAATAACAGTCTTTACAATGAAAATTCTTAGAGACAGATGAAGAAAAAGCTAAAGAAAAGGTAGACGCAATATGCCTAAGGATAGACTCAGACGGATGACCTAAGCGGTGGTGCCAATCAGCAAGAGAAGCTTTGACACTGGAGAAGGCAAGTTTGGCTTTGGTAGGAGGGGATGACGCCGGCCATTCATACACACCATCTCTAGTTCGTCCCTGTAGCAGTGTTGCCTCCGTCATTAAATCCTTCACATAAAAGGAAGTGGGTAAGAATTCAACGGATGTTTTATTTGTTTTGCAAAATTGAGATATAGAAATCAAATTCCGTTTCATATTGGGCACACATAAAACATCATGTAATTTAAAGGAATGAAAGGGAGTTTGTAAGGAAGTAGAACCAGTGTGAGAAATGTGTAACCCAGTACCATCACCAATAACAATGTCGTCTGGACCGTCATAAGGAGCGTGAAGCAACAGATTGTTCAAATCAGCAGTGACGTGATGAGAGGCCCCAGAGTCAAGAAGCCACGTAGAGTTGTCTGAAGCGGACGCAGTGGCCATGTGTGCCTTCGGTTGCCACTGAGGGGAGGGAGAGCGGCCAGGATTAGGAACCGAAGACCGGAGTGCAAACGAGGAAGCAGTGTTGGCTGGGATCAACTGAAATAGAGGACATTGCGCGACGGTGTGGCCCTGAGCACGACAACCCTGACACTTGCCGAGGTACGGG